AAAAAAAAAAAAAAGTTTTTAAAGATATCTCACTTTAAAAATCCAAGGAATACAGAAGTATAAAAACTAAGTCTCATCCTCTTTATCCACCCCACAATGGTACTATAGGTATTCCCAGACCTTTGCCTACTAATATCCTATTTTCCTGCTTGTATAGCTATTTGAAATCTAACTCTTAGCAGCTTAGAAATGGAAACTGAAACTTACTAATACCTTTATGTTACTATGACTCTTAAAAGCACAAAATACACAGGCACATAGACATATCCCCCCACCTATTATATATTTGTTCTTAAATGACAAGTATGAGGTAGCTAGCAATGAAATTAAACTTTAAAATTTGAGAATTCCAAACTCAAAGAAGTTCAAATCTGTTCAGACTGAACTGTTGGCACCAAAAGGCAGTTCAAGGCTGGCAGCCAGGAAGATAAATTACGGAATGAATGAGACAGTACCTGCTGAAAGGAATCCTCAAATAATGTTTTTCTTGTTACTGTAATCTTTATGTGCTGTGGCATGGCCAATTGCTGAAATAGAAAAATGATTTAAGTCAACTTTCACCATTAAGGGCAGGGGATTTAGCTCAGTGGTTCCACCACCTGCCTCGCAAGCACAAGGTCCCTAAGCTCGATCCCTGGTACCAAAAGACCCCCCAAAACAAAAAACAAAACAAAAACGAAAACTTTCACCACTAAAATGACCTATCAACAAACCAGAAAGTGAAAGTTTTATCTTTGTTTATAGAAAGATAATGAATATAAATTTATACTCAGTATTTATCAATATATTTATAAGCATTCATGTGGATTATAGATTATTGAATATATGAGAAACAGAAGAAAACAATATCTAATATGTACAAGTACTTCATGATTCAAATCTTTGCCTAATTTCCAAAGGCTAGTTCAAAAAGAGTTTGAAGTTGAAGAATATTTGACATCCTAACACTGACTAATACATATTTAGAACCTAGAAAGAAATCATTAATTCAAGTAATTTATTTAAACATCAAAAATAGCTGATCACATTTGGAAAAAAACACTCTGAATGCAACATATTTGTATGTACATGGTCACACAGGTATATATCTATCGAAGTCATTTATATCATTAGGCATAAAAAGATGTCATTTATAATTTAAGTATCAGAAAATTCAACATATTTAAAAATTTATGCAATATGAAAGTTAATGAGTACTGAGGAAAAAGTGGTATTATTTCTTATTCAAAAGATAAATATATTTCTTTGTCCTAAAAAATAGAGGAAAGACATCCCAATACTTTCTATTTTATCTGTTTCTCTATGAGTTAATCATTTTTGTAATCACCCTGTAATATAAGTAACATAACAAAAGAAAGGAGTACAGAGCCAGGGATTTAGCTCAGTAGCGCTGCACCTGCCTCACAAGCACAAGGTCCTGAGTTCAATCCCTGGTACCGCAAAAGAAAAAAAAAAAAGAAAAAGTACAGAGATACAGACCCAATACTAACCTGACACCAGAACCGGAAATACTGAACCTTTGCCTTGAAGTCCCGAACATAGGCTATCTGAGGTCCATTGTCCCTGAGGAAGAACAAAGGTTGAAAAGATCTATACAACCACTTATAAAAGATAATGCTGGGCTGGAGATTTAGCTCAGTGGCCCCATGCCTTCCTGGTAAGAGTAGGGTCCTGAGTTTGAGCCCCAGTACAGGAGTAAGAAGGGAGATAATGCTAAAGGAAAGCAAATACTCTACCCCTCGGTAGTTAACAGCCAAATACAAAAATACTCAGTATATTCCTAACACAAAGGAAAAAAAAAATCTAAATATTTCCCAGGACCACCTTTAAGTAAAGAAAAAAAATTTTTTTGATCTTGATGAAGTGACTGTTGTGGGATTTTCTTTTACATGTAGCCAAATCTAAAAAAGCTCAACAAAGGTGGTTCTGATAATGTGTTTATCCCAACATCCACTCTACCTTTTGTCCTTAAATAAGACTTACTAGTCAACTGGGCAGACTGCTACCCACCATAAAAACTAATCAATGTGTTCATTGACTTCAGGTCTGGCTAGAGAGCTTTAAATAAAAGTGTCATATGGAGGTGTGTGTGGGGGGGGGGCTTTAAAAAGAAGCTGGTGGGAGTTTTTTTACTTTTTCCTATTCCAATTTGTCCTTCTTCCATATTCTAGCTATGGTTTGGATGTTGAATGTCCCCATAGTAATGGTATTAAGAGATTCTGTGCACTTGTAAGAAGTGAGGCCTACTGGCAAAGCTAAACAATAGGGAAAGGACAAGTCTTTTTAATAAATGATGCTTGGAAAACTGTATATCCAGAAGCATGAGAATGAGGTTGGACCCTTATTCAATGCCCTATGGAAAAAATTAAAATGGATTAAACACCTAAATGTTAGAGCTAAAACTATAAAAGAACACAAACCTTCATAACTGGATTTAGCAATGTTTTCTTGGATATGACACCAAAGGCACAGGCACCAAAAGATAAACTGGGCTTTATCAAAATTTCAAACTTTTTCACATCAAAGGACACCATGCAGAGTAAAAAGATAACCCATAAAATAGGAGAAAATGTTTTTAAATGGGATGGGGATATAGTTCAGTGGTAAAGCACTTGCCTAGCATGAATGAGACCTTGAGTTCAATCCCCAGTACCAGGAAAAAAAATCTAGGGCCAGGCATTCTGCAATATACCTATAATCCCAGTACTTAGGAAACTGAGGCAGTAGGATCATGAGTTTGAGGCCAGCCTGGGTTATTTAGCAAGTTCAAGGTGGCTTAGACTACCTACCAAGATCATATCTTAAAAGAATTCATTTATCTAATAAAGTTTAATACTCTGAATACTTAGAATATATTCATGTATGATGTACCCATGCAAGGGTCCCAGAAGATTGTAAGAAAGCTGAACAATTCCTATTGTGATACTGTAGCCAGTTTAACATCATACCCCAATATATGACTCATGTTTGTGATGATACTGATTGTATAGTGCATAATATTGGATAATGATAATAAATTAATGGTTTATGTTTTTATATTATAGTTTTTAATTATTATTTCAGGGTATGCTCCTCCTTACATAAAAAAAGTTTATGATTAAACAGTATGCCATACTATTTACTGTATGTAGCAGTAAATACCTTGAGTTTATCATGTCTCTAGATTTCATGATTTTCTCCTATGCTTGACTTAATCTTGTGTTTTCTTTTACTGTGGCTGCAGAAGCAATAGCCTCTATTATCTAGGCTGTGAGTATACCACATTGTTTAGGTGTGCAGTAAGCTAAAACATTTAGGTTTGTGTAAGTGTACTCTATGATGTTTGCACAATGATACATTTCTCAGAACACATACTCATCATTAAATGTCACATGACTGTATATGGAAAATTCCTAAAATGCAAGCAAAACCCCCCGAACAACTTGAATTTAAAAATGCACAAAGGATAGGGCTGGGGATTTAGCTCAGTGGTGCCACTGCCTGCCTTGCAAGCGCAAGGTCCCAAGTTCAATCCCTGGTACCAAAAAAAAAAAAAAAAAAAGTGCACAAAGGATTCAATGGATAAAGACTGATTGGCAAACCAACTCAAAAAATAGTAAGATTTCCATTTCTTGCAAATTTAGATCTCTATATCTGAGAAATTAGTTTTAATTTTAACCTACAATATTTAGAAAACTTACAGGGCAGATTTTCCTGTGCGGGGATCTATATAGGTGGTTGTTCTTCTATTGTGATCCACAAAATATGGAATTCCATCCACTGTGAATCTCATTTCCCAGCCTTCAGGTAAGGGCTTTTCATTTAATTGACTATAAAACATAGAGGAAAAGTGTAAATATATAAAAAATATTAAGGAGTTGCTTCTTGGTTAAGTACAGAAACTAAAAATACCCATAAATACAGTAAAAATTATTTTGGAAAACTACATGTCCTATATTTTCCATTGTTTACTAGACATCTCCATGTAGACATCCCACAAATACATTAAACTCATTATTACTGCCTCAAAATTAAAAATCAACGTCTTTTCAGTCTCCCACCACATTCTTGCCTATGTTCCCCTATCTATCTAATAACTCACCTTAAACATTTCATGGTTACTAAGCTCTAACAGCTCTACCCATTCTGCCTTCACATTCATACTGATTTTCAACCCACAATACCATTTCTTTCTTCTAAAGTTTTTCAACAGCTAATCTCATTCTGGCCCCACACGTTAATATTACTTATCTTTCTAAAATAGAGTTATCATCCACTTAGTTCTCCTTTTAAAGTGCTGTCATTGTTCCATCAACAATAAGATCTAAACTAACTGCCAACAATGAGATCTAAAATCCCCCATCTGGAATTCATTTAACCTCTATACTTTGGCTTCAGTGTTACATTTCAGATTGATCTCTGCACCCATACAGTTGACTTCTTTCCATGAATCCTATGACTTCATGGCACATGGCTGGCTACTCAATACTTCCCTAAACAAAACATGATCTATCACATCTCCAAATGAAGCCTTTCTCTTTGCCCCAAATCTCTTTCTTCTGTTAAGGCAACTCTAACGTTCTTTATGAAATTTTCCTATGCACTTCTTTTATACCTATCTTTATACCTTGAAAATTCTGTATTACAGGCAAGCTGTTTTAAGCTCTCTTACACCGGTATCTTTATCCATAAAATAGAGGTAATGATGTCATATAGAAAGACTGTCTGAGGAATGAGACAAGTAAAAAGTTTAACCCAAATTAAGCCCTAAGATTTTAACTGTTATTATTCTTTCTCCTACTACTACAGATTTATTTTCTTCAGGTCTCTCAAAAATCTTTCTAAATATTGCTATCACATTTCAGTACGTGTGTTTGGCAACAACTTCCTACCTGATAAGAATTACTTGAGTTTTATAACAGTAACCATGTTATATGAAAATGAGTTATGAAAATGACTTTATTTTAATCTGTTATAAAAATAACAGGAATTAGCATAAATATTCAAAGCAACTTACTAATGAACCTAAGAATTTTATATTTTTATTTTTATATTTCAAAATCTTACATGAGAGTAAGCATGGAACTACTAAATACCTCTTTTCCTGTCTTTGCGTATTCTGACACAAATGGCAATCAGTCTTTTTAATTGGTTAGGTAAAATAAATGCTGTAATTTGTATCCATATATACCCCACTGCATTTTTTCCTATTTTACAGTTTGAATTTTCTCATTTGGTGAGTTTAATGAGAGACCAACAGAACAATTCAAGTTCACATCTGAAAGGGAGAATACGGAGGAATTCAGGCTCACTGTTATAGAGAGCCACCATTATTGTTAGGAATGTCATTTTCCTCAAGTGCACTTCAGAGAAAAACCATAGCTTTCAATCATATTTTGTAGACCACATCAAAATGTCAAGAATATTTAGCTGCATTCCTATTATTGAATACAACTATCCCATAAAATAGACTATAAAAAAATGTAAAAATGAGGTCTCTCTTTTGTAATTAATTGGAAGACAGGCTCAGTAACAAGTTGTCTTATTAACAAATTATATAGAACTAGATCATTTGTAAAAATTTGATTCTAATTTTAGCTCAGAAACTTTTAAAGGCCAAGGGGGGAATCAAGAATGGTAGCAAATTTCAGAAAGGTAATTTGTCCAACTCTATCTTTAAAGATAGTTTTGTGTTAAAGTTTTTATGAACTTGAATATATTGAAGTTAAACACAATAACTCCATTAAAAAACACTGTCACCTTTTGGCATCCAGGAATAGGTACACTGAATTTAAATCATACCTTTAGAACATAAGTTGTTGAAACTTCTAAGTTAAGGAATTTGTGAAGAATTAACCATAATCAAAGAGAGGTATGGTCTTTGTCCTCAACCACTGGGAGATGTACCAGGAGTGTACCTGTTATAAGTCTGCTTGGAGGATTTGACCAGTGGACAGTCAACAAAGTAACTGATAAAGGAGGCTGGGGACATGCTATATTACTTCTGACCTCCGGAGAAATTATATATTGGAGTCTTATTTCCAATCTCTAGGAAAGGATAGAGACAAAAGATCATCCAAGAAGATCAAGCACAGATAAAAATTTCTGGATATCAGAAGACTTCTCTGGTTGGCAATACTTAGCATCAATGATTCCACATCAATGCTGGATATTTGGAATCCTCCCAGACTCTGCTTTATGCATTTCTCCCTTCTACTGGTTCTACTTTGCATTCTTTCTCTATAATAAATTAGACTGTGAGTATAACAGATTGCACTGAATTCTGAGTATTTCTACTGAATTTATATCTGAAAATGACTGAGGCAGAATTTGTAGGCAGTTGGTCTGAAGTAACAGTGGTCTTAGAGGCCCACTAATTAGACTTTTGGTTAATGCCTTAACTGTGCAGTTTGCCAAATTCTTCACCAAATGGAACCATCTGGCAGTATAATAAATGCATAGTATTATACACTGTTGTGAACTAAACATATATCCCTTCCAAATGCTTAAGTCCCAGCCATCAATACCTCAGAGTGTGACCTTATCTGGAAACAGGATCACTGTAAATGTACTGTTTAATATGAAGTCATACTGGAGTATGGTGGGTCACTATAGTAATTCTGCAAAACTGGTATTCTTATGAGGAAATTTGGACACAAAAACATATACACAGGAAGAAAATCACATGAAGACTGAAAATAGGCTGACACCAAGCTAAGGAACTACAAGAAGTTAGGAGAGAGATCTGGGACAGATCTTTTCCTAGTGCTTTCAGAGAAAGCATAGCCCTGCTGACACTTTGATCTCTGATTTCTGGCCTCTAAGAGCTGTAACATTTGTTTAAGTTACTCTGTGGGATACTTTGTTAAACTGGTCCTAGTAAATTAATGCATGGACTATTAAATGTTACTAAGATAAGCAACTGTATGTACATAGTTACCAAATGTATGTACATACATTTTGTATAATACAAAAATTGTAGGTACATAGTTACTGAGGCTCTCCTATCAATACATTGGTAACTTCCAAGTTTTTATAATGTGTGTAAACAATATTCTGTGGTATCTGCATCAACCACCGAATATTTTCAAAACCATGCAATTTCTACCAAAGGCAAAGTTCTGGGTACTGCTAATTGTATTAGGTTGGAGCCTATACTTACAACACAAAGAAATACTAATTTTAGGTAAAGGTTGATGAAACTGAGTATGTAATATTTCCTCTTTCTAAGTCACATCTCCAATTCTATCTAGTGATCTCAGAGGAAATCTTTAGAATTCCTAATCTGATTTTACTTATAATAAATATACATAAGTGCATATGTGGATGTAAGTGTATGTCATGTACCAGTGAGGTTTTTTTTCTTACTCTCAAAAAAGTCCTAAACTTTTCATTACAGGAAAGCAGTGATTTGTCTCCTTCCAAAGTATGTAGGTGAAAAAAACAAACAAACAAAAGACAACAAAAAAACAAAAAACAAAGTATGTAGGTGATAATGTTTAAGGCCTGTGAGGGGAAAGTACATAATTGAGTCAGAAAACGATAAACAATCTTTAAGAGGTTATATATACACTAAAACTAAAAGTTCTTACCCTTGACTTCTGGGGTCTTCCCACTGTGTAATTCGAGTGTTGTGATTGACAAAATACACTCTGCCATTGCTATCAGTTCTCTTCTCTTTATTACAAACAAACAGACCAAAGCATTAATGTTGGCATAAGCTTTTTCTTCAAATCTTAAATGAACTTAATTTACACATTTCGTTGCATTGCTGATTTTACAGTTTCTACATCATATATTAAAAAGGTTTAATTTGTTTGACTATTGAATGCACATAATTATTAAAGTTATAGAAATATTATTACAAAAAAAGAGAAATATTATTACATCCTAAAAGCTAAGCTGAAGTAGTTCACAACATCCTGCATAGGCACTTTCAGCTTAGTTGAATCAACAGCAGCAAGTAACAGCTTTTCACACATGACCTCTATTTATTTCTATGTTTATTTATTATTTCTTATTTATTTTTGTGGTGTTGAGGATTGAACCAGTGCCTCTACACTTGAGAAAAGCACTCTACCACTGAGCCACACCTTCAGCTCAACCTCAGTTTATTTGTAATTGACCCATGGAGTATGCAGCTTTATTTTTACCCTGACAATAAAGAAAACTCAGGTTAAGAGATCTATTCAAAACCTCAGAATTAAGTAGCAGAGATAAGATGAAAACTAGGGTCTCCATTAAGGAACCCCGCCCCTCCATACCACATCATTCATTTCTTAAAATATAATTGAGGACTATGATGGGTGGGAGTAACTTGCTCTTTCTTTCTTTCTTTCGTTTTCCTTCCTCCCTTCCGTCTTTCCTTTCCTTTCCCCTCCCTCCCTCCCTCCCTCCCTCTCTCTCTCTTTCTTTCTTCCCAGAGCCTGTACATGCCATGCAAACACTCTACTACTGAACTATACTCCCAGCCTTCATATTTTAAAAAATATTCTGTTACTTAATATACCTGGTTCCAAAATCCTAAATATCTGCAATACCTTTCTGTTCATGGTCTGGACAGTAAGGCTCAGTTATTTAATTAACATATTTAAAGCTGCTGCTTTTGCCTCACTTACCTCTTGTTTAAGGTTTCTCCTTGTTTTCTTGTTCCCATTCTATAGAATTTCCCTTGCTTTTCTGAGCTTTCCTCATTAAGGTTTCGAAGACACATGGATATGACTTTCTTTTTAAATAACCAAATCAAATAGCTTTCAACTTTCAATTTTAAGTTCTGCAATATTTATTTTATTTATTTGGGTTTTTTTCCTGTTAAGTTTATTGGTACATTTTAGGTATAAAATAGTTACATTCATCATTGGGATCTTGTACCACTACATGAGTATCTTGGTTCTTTTTTTTTTCCCCTTCCCTTGCCCTCCCTTCACCCCCTCCACCCTTCCCTATTTGCAAAGGACTTTGTTTCCATTTTTTTCTTTT